TAATTCATCACAGCTGACCATAAAAAATGTTACCCATGCTGATCATAGTTATTACGAGTGTCGGGCCGCCTCTAACAGAATGGAACCTGCAAATGCTAGATCCTTCCTTGGAATTATAAAAGGTTAGTATGTAACTTGATGTCTAGCTTTTGTTTGACCTTACATGTACTTGAATGGTTAGGGGTGCGTGTACTGCGTGTAGTCATCATGAACTGCTTCTTTTTCATGGTGCATTGAGCAATTTAACCAGTCAGCACATGTACCTGCTGACACTCGCAGTGCAAAAACACCCCTAAAGTACCTTTCCTAGTGGTAATCAGTCAGAAAGTGCATGTGTTGACAAATGTCCTTTTTCTCCCTCGCTGGAGAGTTTTTGGTTCTCTTCTTGTTCCAGTATTGTCCTAGGGTAAATACATGTAAACCAAAAAAATTCCTTTTCTGCGCTTATTTTAGGGATCCCAGACAGACAGTTTTTTTTATCTATACATGTACTCTGTGCAATCAAATTGTTCAAGAAATGATGAGGAGCACCGCACTAATTAACATACATGTACTTCCAAGGCCCTATTTTTCTTTATAGAAAAGAAGAAACACCAAATGTTTAGGTGGCACCGAAGAGGAAAAGCATGTGGTAGAGAGTCTTTAAAACTTGCTGGTGAAGAATACCTGGGTAAAGTTTTCTTTCTTCTGATGGCTGCAAAGATGTGACAGTCCGTCACTTTCAACTGTGTTTTGAATGCAGATCACAGAAATCACAGAATAATGTTTTACATGATCTGTAATGCAGCTTTCAAGATTTTTGAAAACAAAGTGATATTAGAGAGTATTGCTTCGAGGTTGAATTCAATTTCTGGAAGGGTAATTGGTAAAGCCATGGCCGCCAAAATGACTCCAAAGCCGTGGACAAAATCACATTAAATTATGCTTAAGCCTGGAAAGTATTCTTTGTTACAAGAATCAGGTGTAAAATTGTCGAAATTCAAGTTATTCGGTAGATTACACAAATTATTTTTGAAAATTAAATGCTCAAAAGGGTGCGAATATTGCACTCTCTTTGTCAGGGATAGCGTGTTCATATGTTCAGATGAAAAGAGTTCTATCTATTTTGCCAATAAATGTTGATTGACAACCAGGGTAGTTGAATTTGTACATGGCATGTGAGTTACTCAATGGTGATAATTTACCTTTGTTGTTGGTGTGGAAACACGGTTCAGTTGTTTTCTCACATACTTTTATTTCGATGTTGGAGTTTGTGAGACATCTACGGAGCTTTCGTTTGAATGATTTTAAGACGCGAGGTTTTGTTGCCAATGTAAAGGATAGAAAGCCAGATGTTGGTGGAATCTTTTCTTTGGTGTTGTTGTCTGCTGTGTAAGTCCCATTAAGAGTGTTTTAAAAAACCAATGAATAAGGTTATTGGCAATATGTGAAGGAAAGCTGTTCCAAGACATGATCTTTTTTAGTTGTTTTAGTTCAAATTCCAGTTCACTTGGAGAACAGATTCTGTGGACTTATTCAACCAGTGCAATACTTCAGGATAGCCAACTGAATTGCCGCTTATTTGAAGTAAGATCGATCTGGATTCAAAACATTTGGCTTGTTTTAGTCATCTTATTTATTTGTACATACTGCTTAATTTGTATCACCTCGCTATATTATTTTGTCATGTGGCAAAGAAACTAGTTGATTTCTTTTTTCCAAGTTGGGTTTTACATATATAGCTGTTATTTCTGTTGTCATCAAACATTTTATCCATCAATGTACCAGCACCAGCATTACCAACACTTCTAAGAATTGCACACAAATTCAAAGAAAAACTGTGCATTGCCATTTTATTTTCTACACCTTGAGAATCTGCTTAACATGTAAGTTTGCATTCTGTGTACATGCTTTGGGCAAATATGGGAGGCAGCATGGC